GAGGTGGCCAATGTGGAACCCGGAAGTGAAGTTTGTTGAACCTTTGGCTGTCGGAGAATGAGTTATGATGGGAACGACTTTGGACAATGCAAGGTGAACGTGCAAACGTAAATGTGCAAGTCGCTGGGAGGGCAAAGAACCAGAGTGAAGAATGAGAAAGAAAGAGGGAAGCGAGACAGGAGATGAGCAAGTGGCGTTGACTTTCGATATTTCGCCCGTCGTCACAAAATGCTGAAGCTTGAGTGGAGCCTCGAAGTCGATTCTGGAGTCCTGGACGTTGTTTCCATGGATCTGAATGGCTGAGGAATTGTCCAGGAGAACTGGTCAGTGGCAAAGTCGCCTGTGGAGGCTGACAAAGGCTCTGGCGACGTGCCAGAAGCACTAGAAAATGAGTCACCAACCAACAAGAGGGGCACAGCTGCCGCCCCAATCTCAAATTGACCAATCCCAGCACGTTATAAACCGTGATGTCGCCTGTGCACTTGAAAAAGAGTCATGGTGACAAAGGAATCTTCCCAGTTCTGCATTCTGACGTGCGTCAAATTGAGTTTTGACTCGAAATTTGATCGTCAATCTTCCCCAGAAAATCCCCGGGAAAATGTCTCGCGAGTCAGCCGGATTCGAAATTGAACTGCAGGCAGAGAGTTATCCTTGTTGAAAATCGTGCTTCACAAACCTATTGAATGCGTTATGCCTACCCTACGCTACCACAAGATGACATGTCCAACATGTTCACTCCTTGCCAGGGAATGTATGAGGGTCTGGATCTGAGACGATATCGCCTTTCATATATTGTTATCCATATTCCACGGGGCAAAGGCGAGAAACTCATTCCGTGGTATCCCGAAGCTAATAAACTTGGACGTTGTGATATTCGCCCATGACATCAACACCTTTTGTATGTGCAGCTTGCACATTTTTCTTAAATCCCAGCACTACTATCTCTAGCCCGAAAAACTGGGTTACTTTCTCATCACAAAATTTTTACGAATATATCTCAGTTTCATATTGTGCGGCCGGTGCGCCGCCACGCCCACGCCCATTTACTTTGGTATTTTAGATCCTCATGGTCTCCGATCGCAAATGTTTACATTGTTCGGAATAGTTACGGCATGAAAGCATACTTGAGAGTATGATTGCAATGGATACTTGCCGTACACCCTCTTGCTCCCACCTTGCATGTGAATTATCAATATACCATCCCCAACCAGGAATAAAGCCAGCATGCTCTACGAAGACAGCCAGTCTGTGGTGTCACGGAGCTTTGTTATAATATTTGTCCAAGGTATCTTGTGATATGTCGTGTAGCCTTCGACTCGTGCTTTAGATTGAATCATGTTCTTGGCCCCAGGGTTTCACTGGGAAAGCCTGTCGGCCGGGAATGGGGTGCGGAGAAGCCACCACGGGAGGTTATTACCAGTCGAATCCTAGTTCTCAAGTTCTGGGTTTGTTAGACATCGATGGCGAGTCTGCGCCACTGTGATGATTATGGATCATGCCACTCCCACTGCTTCATCCGGCTTATATGCAGCGGTAGTCCACAATGGTCGAGTGTGTTCCATGTACGAAATATGCAGAGAGCAATAATCTGTCTGGGTCACCAAGCAACTTATCAATATTCAGTCAGCCGGTGTAGGGATACAGAACAAAATCACCAGTTTTCAACGGTCGTCTCCGCACATCAGGGGTCATTATGGCACTATGGGCAACTGTCATCGAGGACAAGTCGGGAATAAAATAAGGGAACAGAGCACGGGCCGTTTTTTTGTAAACTTTGAAATGCAAAGCACATCGACAAGGTAACTTTTCCCCTTCAGCTGTATGAGCTTCGGACAGCACGAGTGCACGAAGAAAACTCACCCATCAATACATCTGTACACTCGGTGCGGAATACCCAGGCCCATGCTACGACGGCTGGGTGTCTCTACCCCATGTCGTGGTAAAATTTTTCCAGTGAGAAATACCACACGTTGCCCGACAATAACGCACTTGAAAACAAATTACTCCAGCACACAAAGAGGTGAGACTGTTACTACTCCGTATGGACTGATGTGATTCGACACAACCTGCCGGGGGCCATTGGATACGAGATGCAGGTCTGGGGCGCCATGCAGGCTATAGACGCTGCACTAAAGCCAGCGGCTCGCGACCTCGCTTTTAAAGAATTTTGTACAGAACCGGGATTTTCCAATCTTGGATAGGGACGTACATAAGGAGGCAGAGAGGCAGAGACTTGACTGCATCTATCTTCAAATTCCGCACCCCCTTTTCCATCCGTTCAGTGGTTAACGGGAAGGATGCTTGGACGCACCTGCTGTCCGGGTATTTTAGCGGTACATACAGTGGGTGTACGTACTATGTCGGGCCAATTGAACCAGACCGCTCAGGCACCCGGACTCCAGACAGGGTGTGAGGTGCGCCAACGCCCGCCTTGAGTGGCCAACATTGAGCCGACCCAGTAGAGGGGCTGAGTCTGATACCGGCTGAGAGGTAGAAGTAGCGCTGACTTTCTTTTGTCTTCTCTCGCTCTTCTTCTGCACGATAATATGGCAATGCAACTTTGCATGCAACCCAGCCCAGCCTTTGCCGAGATGATGGCACTTATGCCACGTTCCCGTTTATTGCTCATATTTCGCTAACCGGGAACGCGATGGACATTGCCTTTACGGAGTACTCCGCACCCAGATCCTCATCCTGGGGGACATGAGTCTCGAGCCACTTGCAGCGAACGGGCTGAAACCGGGTGCCTGGCGGACTAGAACGCACGTTTGCCTTCCAAAGCTCGTCGAGAGCCGTCCCATGCCGAAAAGCCCATTCTCGCCAAAATTTGAGTTGGTCAGGCTTGACGCCACTCTTCGGTAGAAAACCGACTGGTCTCTTCCCGACGAAGCCTATCTAAAATTCTTTCTTAGCCGCTTTATAACAAGCCTGAAAACAGCACCAAGCCACGGTTCTACAATAATCGAATGCATGGGGCAGGAGTACTATCGCAACCACGGAAGTGGAGAGGTGTACTGGGTACCCCTGACTGACACTATCAAATATAGAAACACTCCACACATTATTCCGTATTTACGACTGGGTTGTTTCTCGAGCTAAAGCCGCTGGAAACGTTACACAAACCCGCATAGAGATGGGCTGCTGCGAGTAAACACTATACACATGGAGTACATACATACACCGAACAGCGACAACGACACTGTTTTGAGATAAGGACCCCGGAAATATTGAACATTGATATTACATCGTGGCCCGAGACACCCACTTTTCTCGGCCTCGCCCGTCTTCGCCCTTTGCTGAGAGAACTGGGCGTAGGGGCAGGGTTACCCTCAGCTTGTTAAGTTTCCCCACCCCTTGACAGAATTGTCCGATAGCTGAGGCATTATAGCAGACAAAGAAATTGCCCTGGCCTTTCGGACCATCGGGCGAGACGAGCATGACTGTTGCCTATCTTCCACGAACTACCATCTAAAGACTGGCTTAGGTGGCAACAATGATGTTGGGCTTTGGCGTTGCTTCGTCAATGCTTACTTTTGGGCTTGTGCCAAAAAAAACCGAGTCAAATCAACATCAGCAGGGTCCAATGATACCTGGGTTGAGGTGCCATCGTCAGGCCCAGTCTTGTCTTCTGGGCAAACAACTCGACATTTGTGTGACCCCCGTCCAATTTGCCGTGGAAGCCAGGCGTCCATCCTAGTTGCGAGGAAATTCAAACGGCCACAGCCGCGGTAAAACAGCGCGTACGGAATACAATCACTGAATTTATATGCAATTGCGCCTAGTATTGGTTTTTCCAATAGCGCCTACACACAAGTCGTAGGGCCGGAAAGTCCAGTGTCTGGCGTAAACGATTACCCCAGCGGGGAACATCTGTCAGCAACATCTCGGCCTCCATCGCCTCTGGCACCACAAAATTATTGATGATTAAACAGTAGTTTCCACCTTGGCAACCATGGTTACATTACACATCCCCGCAGCGGCTAGGCTTCTGGATCTCAGCATCGCAGGCGTCGACTGTCTGTAGATCTCCAAGGAGGAGGATGGGTTTAATAGGATCACTAATGCCAAGCGACAACATAACCCGACATAATCTAAATATCGAGGCTACCGCCGTGTCTGATGGGCAGAGGCGAATCACCATGTCACAGGCGGCTTCCCAATCATCAACAAACCTGAAAAGGTTGCCCACCAAAACATCAGGCGACTAATTGAGAGCTTCAAATGACGTTCGTATTCCTGGGTTTAGCAATTAGAGCGACTCTGGATAGCGCTTTTCAACCCCACCATGGCCTGCCCAAGTTGTTCTCGATGAGATAAGATACCCGGCCCCGGCTCGACAGTGAACCCATAATGCATTAGGATGTGTCACCTACCTAAGTTATGTTATCGACGGAATCTATGTTTCCCTCTAGAAAGGTGTCAGCGATCTCAGCCTTGCCGCCTCCTCCCACAGGCGCATGGGCCTTCTCTGTTTGCACAGCACAACTCTGGGTTGCCTAAATGAGCTTGAAAATTGGTTCCTGGTGCATCCGACTCAAATGGATTGGTCAGGCTTTTAAGTCGGATGTCACTATCGCATCATACCACCCATCCACACCCATTTGATCCGTGTGCGTTTGTACATTCTCACCATGCACGTATCCAGACTATCCAGGCGCATGCCCAGCCCCGGCTCCCCACCTCTTTGTGGTGTTCGGCCGTTGACCCGCCAAGAGAGTCCGTCCGACATGGAGCTCCATCACAGCAATCGCGTGGTTCAGGTGAACATTGAAGGGGCCCAGGCCGCCGACGTAGCCGGCCCCTGCACCAAATATATGGGAGGTGCGGTTGGGTACGCGGTGTACTTTATATTCTTAATGAGGTCACTTCGTCTCATTTTGTCGAGTTGAGGCCCTTCCTTGTACACTCGTTAATCGTGGTTTATTGTCGATTTTTTTCGTTGTTGGCTCTTGTGGTGTATAGTGTCTTGACTTCGCCGCTGAGCGAAAAGAGCCGCCATCATGAGGGCTTCACCACTTACTCCTTTTTGGTCCATTGCTTTTCTGTCTTCGCTGGCGCCGAGCCATGCATCAACTCTTGAGAGACGCGACCTCGTGCCACCAACCGACGCCGATCTTGGTAATGGCTGGGTGTACCAAGGTTGCTATGTGTAAGGAACTTTGAAGTGTATTCCCCTTTCAGATATCTTGTGGACTGGGGCATGAAGCTGATAGTCAAGTCAGGGATGTTGGTCGGACAATCAATTCGGCCGATACAACTGATGCGAAAATGACAAACGAGATGTGCACGCAATTTTGCTTTGGAAAAGGATTTCCATATGCTGGAACTGAGTATACGTCGGAGTGTTACTGCGGTAGCTCTCTAGCAACTGGCGGCGTGCAAGCGTCGGCCGCTGACTGCGGGATGGCCTGCGGCGGCAACGCGACTCAACCATGCGGAAGCCCAGGTAGATTGACGCTTTGGAAGACGAGCCAAGTCACTGGGCCATCTGTCAATCCCGGAGTCAACGGCTGGGTATCAAACGGGTGTTACTCGTAAGTCTAGGAGGCTGATGCCTGTTTGCAACCGCGACTGTGACCGGACTGTAAGTTGACTTGATGAACAGTGAGGGTACCACGGGACGCGCTTTGCTGCAAGGCGCTGGCTCGGTTCCGGGAGACCAAATGACGGTGGCTAAATGCACAGCAGCTTGCGCAGCAGCAGATGCAACGAATACTCTTGCAGGCGTTGAATATGGCGGCGAATGCTGTAAGTGACGCTGGACCCGGACCGTGGACTTGTGGCTGGACCCGCAGACTTGAAGACTTGAAACAAGACTAAACTAACGCTCGTATTTTTTTAATTTTCATTTTAGACTGCGGCAAGAGGATTTCCAATGGCGCGCAGCCCGCGTCGGCCAGTAAGTGCAGCATGGTCTGCAATGGCAACAGCACCGAGTATTGCGGCGGCCCGGGTGCTATGAACATTTACAACCTGGGCGGCACATTGCCCACGAGGTGAGTTGAGATGGATGTCCGCCCTGCTTGATTCAGACGTGAGAGAGCTCGGACGATTCAGGCACGGACGGACGTTTATTAGAGCCACGAACAAAGAGGCTGATCAGACATGGCCCCAACAGCACGTCGGGAGGTGCCGATCCAACCACAACACCCACAGGAACGCCATCGGCGTGTCCAGCCCAGCCGACCACCGTCGACGTATGGTTCTCTTTTGGCTGCTATACCGAGGCCACAGACGGGCGAGCCCTCAGCGACAAGACTTATGCCGACGACGCCATGACCCTGGCCACTTGCGCCAAATTCTGCGCAGGTTACACGTATTTCGGCGTCGAGTATTCGCGCGAATGCTACTGCGGGAACAAGTTGAATACGGGTTCCAAAAAGGCGGCTGCGGCTGACTGCAGCATGGTCTGCTCGGGCTCCAGCTGCGACCTTTGTGGGGGCGGTGACCGTCTCTCCGTCTACACCCTCGGGGGCGGTGGTGTCGATCCCGGCGCCTCATCCTCATTTTCTGATGCTTCCGCAACTTCGACAGGGGCACCTGCTGCCACGGGCCTGCCAACCGGCTGGTCTGCCTATGGCTGCTGGGTTGACGGCGTGAACGGCCGTATTCTTAACAAGCAGCTCCCCGATGACCCCAACTTGACTCTCGAGTCTTGTGCAAAGGCATGCAGCGACCAAGGTTTTACCATTGCCGGTGCCGAGTATTCACGACAGTGCTTCTGCGGCAACTCCATCGTCAACGGCGGCGTGAAAGCCAAGTCTGATGCCGAGTGCAATACTGCTTGCGGCGGCAATTCCAACGAATTTTGCGGTGGCGGCGGCAGAATGAGCATCATGTCCATGGGCGAGCCCCAAGTCGTTGCACCTCCGGGCGTTATTCCTACCGTTGGCCAGTGGGAGTATCAAGGATGCTACCAGGACAATGTCAACCAGCAGAGGACCTTCTTCTGGCAAAACTTTATGAACACCGACATGACTCCCAAGAAGTGTCTTGACCTCTGCGGCTCCTTTGGCTACATGGCTGCCGGCCTTGAGTACGGTAAAGAATGCTATTGCGGTGACCCAGCCAATATTGCCGTTCAAGGTTCCCAAAAGGTTGATGACAAGCAGTGCAATATCCCATGTGCTGGAAACGCGTCTGCGTACTGCGGTGGTGGCAGTCTGTTGACCACGTACTTCTGGAGGGGAGACCCATTCTACTCGTGGAACTTCCCTGCTGCCGGTTCGCCTGATGCTGGTTCTTACGAATTTCTCATTGGCGGCGTTTGTGTCCCTCTCATCACTTCCCAGGCCATCACGGGCAAAGTCACCTTCCTTGAGAAATGGGGAACTGGACCGCCAAACTCAACTGGTGCTTACGAACTGGATCTTTCCCAAATTGACAATTTCAAGGCTGCCTGGAGAGAAATGCATGTCAAGACTGACATTTTCTGCGCTGGTGGCTTGACGCTTCCTGACAAGGCTGGCCGACAGCTTAACGTTGGCGGCTGGTCTGGAGATTCAACGTATGGCGTTCGCCTGTACACTCCCGACGGCTCTCCTGGTGTGCCCGGCAAGAATGACTGGGAGGAAAATGCCGCCGTGCTCAAGCTGCAACAAGGCCGTTGGTATCCTACTGCTATGATCATGGCCAACGGCTCTATTCTTGTCATTGGTGGTGAAGTTGGCTCCAACAGTGCTCCTGTGCCAACACTGGAGATTCTCCCATACACCGGCACCAAGCCTCTCTACATGGAATGGCTTGAGAGAACGGATCCCAATAACTTGTATCCCTACGCCTGCGTTCTACCGTCGGGAGGTATTTTTGTCGCCTACTACAATGAAGCCAGAATTCTGGACGAGAACAACTTCAACACCATCAAGACGCTTCCCAACATTCCTGGCGCCGTCAACGACCCCATGGGCGGCCGTACCTATCCTCTTGAAGGCACTGCGGTTCTTCTCCCTCAACATGCCCCTTATACCGATCCTCTCGGGATCCTCATCTGCGGCGGTTCTACCAATGGCGCTGCCAATGCTTTGGACAACTGTGTGAGCACCTACCCTGACTCTGCCAACCCCAAGTGGGAACTCGAGCGCATGCCCTCTCAGCGTGTCATGACGTGCATGGCCCCTCTCCCCGACGGCACATATATGATTATGAACGGCGCCCACCACGGTGTTGCTGGCTTCGGTTTGGCCAAGGATCCCAACCTGAACGCTCTGCTCTACGACCCCACCAAGCCCCTTGGCTCTCGTATTACCGTCATGGCTAATACCACTGTGGCCCGTCTCTATCACTCCGAGGCCATCACTTTGCTCGATGGCCGCGTCCTTGTCTCTGGTTCAGATCCTCAGGACGGCGTCAACCCGGAGGAGTATCGTGTTGAGACCTTTAGCCCCCCTTATTTGAAGAGAGGCAAGCCTCGTCCGACCTTTACTCTTAACAACAAGGACTGGTCCTATGGTCAGCAGGTCACCTTCTCGCTGGGCTCTGCAGCTCAAAACGGCGATATTAAAGTGTCTCTGTTGGGGTCCGTATCCAGCACTCACGGCAACTCTATGGGTGCTCGTACCCTCTTCCCTGCCGTCTCCTGCAGCGGAACCTCTTGCACGGTTACTTCTCCTCCCAGCAAGTACATTGCCCCTCCAGGCTGGTACCAGTTCTTCGTCTTGGACGGTGGTATTCCCGCTGTTGGTGTCTATGTCCGCATTGGTGGTGACCCCGCTGGTCTAGGCAACTGGCCCAAAGGCACTGGATTTAACCCTCCCGGCGTTTAGAAACGTTTCTTCTGGCGCCAAGCCAAACAACTATTACGACTTGCATGACCTAAGGGGGGCGGGCAATTGAGAGTTATTGAACAAAGAAGATTATGCGAAAAGAACAAACTTATACATAGATCCGGGGCCTTTTTAAGCATTGGGACCTTTATTACATAGCTTTTGAAGAAGGAAGACAAGATTGTCGATGGTGCAGGGAAAGTTTCTGCTTTCCCCTGCTCACCACCCTGGCGGGACGAAATCTGTTTCTTATACATAATACATGATTTTCCTTTTCCTCTTTCGTCTTGTATGATATTATCCGCGTCTAGATTCGGTCTCTATCCAACATGTCGAGATGTTTCAACATCTGGCAGAGTTCTGCGTGATACGCCGCCGAATTATTGAGTGAGAAACCTGCCATCCCCGCCATGCATGTTCGCAGCCACATTCGAAGGAGCAAGCAACTTTGTTTCCTACACCTCAATCGACAAGGAGGCAACTGGACGGGTTGAGCAAACGCTGGGACAACCACGGTCGAAGGGTGCGATTGCTACTACCGATGGTTGATATTCTCCTTGTTCTGTTGCTGCAATGCAGCACCTGAAACAACAAAAGTACTACTCCGTCTATTTCAAAAGAATCCACAGCCTCGGAAGCCATTACCGAGCTGGAGCACATGGTTATCTCCCCTGGACCCCTGATATAATTGTGGCACTGGCGCTTTGAACGGGGGCTAGTTCTGCGCTCGGCCCGGGGTGACTGCTTTGACAGGTGATTGACTCGTCGTCGATGGGGGCCGCGAGCTTCACCGTGAAGCCGAGAAACCGGAGGTGTGAGCACGCGCTCAACGGGACTAGTTGGTAGTAATTATAGTTTCCAGGGTCTATTTATTATTGTTTCAGAGTTGTAAGTTTAATGCGCTTCATGTTGCTGGCAAGATGCTGCCAGGCGATGACCATCTGCTTGTCTAGCAAGCAAGCTCGTACTCTAGCACGGCGTGACGCAGGAAACAAGGTTCTTGGGTGCCGTGGGGGCCTGTCCTCGATTGGGTGAGTTTTGTGCATCCAAATAGCACGCATTGTTTATTAAAACAGTGCCTGCCTATTGGGAGACGTAATCGCTGCACCATCTCACTCGTGGACGGATGTGCAAGCTGCCATTCATATCCGACGCGTTCCGCACATGGAGCTGTCCTCTGGGATTGGGGAAGAAAGCGCCATACGTGTGCTTTTCAAAGCCAAGATATCGGAGCAAGTTACCATGAAAAAAGGAGTGGAAAAGCATCCTTGATGGACCACCTGCCATCGTCGCGAGGCACGACCCGCTCCCCACGTTGTCAAAGTTTCGTGCAAGTCGCCGCCATGCACGCCGATGACGTCTCTCCCTTCCAATATGCGAAAAAGTAATAACCGATGGATAGTCATTTGAAACCACAGAGCCCATAGAAGAAGCACCTTGCTCAACGACTCAATTTCAATCAGGCACTGCCGAAAAAAAAAAGGCCTTCCCAGCAAGGCGCCACCTCCCCGGCTACCGCCAAGTCCGATAAAGGAGCCAACGTTGAGGCCACGTGACCCCCCTTCCCGCGCCGCCAAAATTCAGGCCCATCCATCCCGTCGATTCCTCAACACCACAGCGGACATTGCGAACCTCGACGAGATAATCCGCCCTCCCCGTCTCCCAATTCCCGCAGTTGAAGCCCGGCACACCTCGCCACAATGGCAGCTCTCATCAAGGCGGCCAACGCAAAGATCAGGTCCAACCCCGTGTTGGACTACGTCTGCTCAACACGTACGTTGTTTCCCTGCACAACCCCCCCCTCGGCCTCTGTCACCTACGCGCCCGTGGAACACTGTACAAGGTCAATGCGTGCATCTACGAATCGAGCGTGATACAGATCCCCCGAGCTTCCTACAACGACCGGGTGGTGTTTTCCCTCGGCCCTCACTGGGAAGCAAACAGCAAAAGAACTATCTCGAAGCCTTTGCCTTTGCCACCCGCGAACATTGCAGCCCCGGAGAACACAACTTCACTCTAAACACAACTAACAAGAAACGAAAATGCACAGACTTCTGGGGTCCCGTGTCAAACTTTGGCATTCCCGTCGCCGCAGTGCTCGACACGCAAAAGAGTCCCGACCTGTATGTTGAACCAGCTGACTGTCTCTCTCTCTTCCACCCGCGGCAACAAGGAGTGAAGGAAAGAAAGCTGACTCTCGCAGAATCTCGGGCCAAATGACCGGCGCGCTGTGCATCTACTCGGCCACGTTCATGCGGTACTCGCTCGCCGTTACGCCCAAGAACTACCTCCTCTTCGCGTGCCACTTCGTCAACGAGTGCGCCCAGCTGACCCAGGGCTACCGATACCTGTCATACCACCACTGGGGTGGGAAGGAGAAGACGGAGCTGGAAAAGGGCATTGAATCGGCTAAGAACAAGGTCGAGAGCGTGGAGGACAAGGTGAAGAGTGCAGTCAGCAAATAAACACCTGTACTCATATGCAACACTTTTTTTTTTCGGTTTTCTTCCTTTTTTTCTCTGCAGAATAGACTTGGAAGGGGAGCGAGCACTTGCCACAGGGGGATTTTGGGTTGTTGAATGGGCAGACGGAGGACCAGTGGTTCAAGAGACAGAATGCGTGGTTCGTCGGGGCTGAATTTCTCGGAGACCGGATCGATATCCGGTGGTAAAATGGCATCGTGTCTGCAGCCATGTGTACATTTGTACAAAGGTCACACAAACCGCCCCCTTTTGAAACAAGTCAGCAAGTCTAGACCTAATTCTGGACGGGGAGAAGTCTATCTAGTTCGGGCTGTGTCATGGTAATAGAAAATCCCGCCCGGAAACAAGGGGTATGAGTAGTAGAACGAATGCGCGCGGGTTCATCACGTGACGTTGAACGCGTTCTACTCGGGTGCTGAAATGGAAATAGACGCCCCCCCAGGTTTTGGTTCGTAATAGCAACAAGGAGTGATGGTGCCGTGTGGTGTACGCCATTTTACCCAATTGATTCGTTGATCGACGGCGTACAACATGGGCTCTGCTTGCCCGGTACTTGAGAGACTAACTCGTACGTAAGTTAAAAACCGGCTGCATCTTACACTTTGTCCTTCGCGGCATTGTGTCCCCGTGGCTATCCTCGGGTAGCCGTGGTTGACTCTGTGTCCAGGCGCACTTCTTGACCAATGAACGCGCGGTCAAAGAAAGCGAGTTGGGGGCAAGACTGTGTCAGGATTGCATCATTATGGATTCTTGCCATCCTTGAAACTACAAGGGCGGGTAGGGCGGAAATAAACTAGTGGGTGAAGACGGGAAAAATTGGAAGAGAGACAACTGCAAGTTTCCGAGGTAGGAGGTTGGATGGGACGAGACGAGATAAAGAGATACAGATAGAGATGAGGGGGCACGGTCTCTGGGCCTTGAATCTGGGGTAACACAGCCGAGGTCAGAAAGCTCCAGCTCAAAACTACCAGTTTCGACAGCAAAAAAGAGAACCGGAACTGAATTAAACTATTCTTTGCGCTGGCTTGCCGTTGAACGTCAGTGTGCTCAAGAGCGCTGATTACCATCGTTCAAACCAGAGTTTGCCCCTGAATAATGATCACGGGAACACTTGACGAGCCAATTGAAAGATCATCGGGGCACGTCAAAATACGCCATCGGAAGAATCTTCACATCACCAGGCACGACAAGATCTCGTTCAACTAGCCAAGGTTGATGCGTCTGAGGCTTGCTTGTTAATGGAGACACCCCCCTCTAGTCTGGCCCAGAAGACGGCTCTTCCCCAAAACTCCGCCCACGGGAACAAGCATCCAGAAAGCGATGAGCCGGCTTCAAGACTGGTTTTTGTACAACACTGGCGAGGTGCCTGTGCATCGGGTAGGGCGTATCCCAACTTCTTGAGCTAAGCTTGTGAGATCGAAAAAGTTCTGAGAAAGGGTGCGTCTCAGGTAAACTCCATGGCACATGGCCATACACATGTTGAGTGCAAGGGACGGGTCCGGTTTGGGCTTGATCCCTGAGTGGCACGCAGGCAGCTACATGTTCACAGGGAACGGGATGGATAAGTGTTCCTGATCAATTGCTGCGGTCTCGATAGGATCCATCCGCAAGAGCTAGCCAGAGTCAAGAATGAAACGGCATACGGAGAAAAAAGGACGGTTCCCCCCGCAGAACTAATTCGGGCGCACGTGTAGGTAGCGAAATTAGAGAGGGACGAAACGAGAACTGTGGCAAAGACTTGTCGCATCACAGAGTCGAGAGACCCGAAAACAAGTTGGATTCAAGTGCCAGACACGTCCAAAAGCGGCACTTGACTGCGACTTGGGCGGTTGTCGTCGCGCATCTCGGCCGTAGCCTGTCACCTGGTCCTCGGCAAACGCAAATTTAGCCAGAGACGTCGGCCACGACCGGCGGGGATGCCCATAGAGAAGTCTAGCTACCTAGGTAGCTTTTGGTTCACAAGGCAGCTGCATTCCTGAAGGGAGGAAGCCGCGGGTATTCGGCATGATGCTGGAAGTGTGACAAAAACACACGCAAGAAGAAAGGTCGAGGATGAAAGATATGGGTTCGAGGGAATTCGTTAGTTTACGAGTGGAAGTGCAAAATGCCATGTAGGAAATAGGAAAGTGCGAATCATGCAAAACCCCCGAGAACAGCACCGGACAATTTTGGCAGGCGCACCCGCTTTCCCCTCGCCCGAAGCTCCAAGAGAGCCAGGGAACCTTGGCAGCGGTAACCAAGACCATGTTGACATGGACATACTCTGGTGCCAAAGCACAGTACGCTTTATCCATCCTACTTGCGAGACAAAGCACCTTGGCGCAAGCCTGCAAGCGCCGCATAAAAGAATTGACAAACTAGTATTTCAATACTTCGCTGCTATCTTGGGGTTCGGAGTTGACTGGCTCACCGATCTCGGTCTGAGCGCAAGACTCAAGGTAAAGCAGGCAACGTTTTGCCATTAGACAGTCGCAAACCGTAACAGAAGCTTGTTATCCCGCGGCTGTGATTGGCCAATGCCTCTTGTCACAAAAGAAAAAATGGGCCCCTCCTTCTCGCAAGCCAATACCGTGACGAGACCGAACGGCGATACCACGGGGCCAAGACTTTTGATCTGTTTCTCACCACCAGCTTGCTGCTGTAGGATCGCCTTTAAAGGTTATTTTTACATTGCATAGTTTGTCTCAACCCGGTGAGACGTGACATGGCTTCTTCTGTGGGGACAAGGGCTGTGGGCAGTGTTGGCGTTTTGTTCGATACCACTGCACGAGACTTGGAGAGCTAGACAGACATGAAGCAAGATGCGGCGCGGCTAAAAAGCAGGACACTGATGAGACTGGACAGGAGCGGTGACTCCCCGCAAGTCAACGGACTCTGCCAACGCCAAACATCAACTGCCTCTGAATATTATTACTACCGCGTTCCTCTGATGCTGGCAATTTGCCCTCAACACTACACCATGGTGGCTTGACAGTTAGCGTCAAGCGCGGTTTTCTTCCAGCATGCCCAGCGTCCACGCCTCGCGGAGAGTGCCATCCTTGTCAGTGTCACTGGTCACCGCGGTCCACTGGAACAAGGAATCATGGTACTCGATGATAGCATGTTTGTTGGCATCGGAGCAGTGTGGTAGGAATACCTGCATACGTAGTCGGTAGTCCGGACATGAGTAAGTGCAATTGAAATAAAACAATATACATACATGTATGTGTCATGGCACGGCCCCGTCCAATCCTGGATACTCTCGGCGGCGAGGTGGGTGCGTAGAATGCTGGGATGTGGATGTTGTGGATGTCGTTGTGGATGTGGATGGATTGACAGTCAACATTGTCCACGGCGGACGAACTTGGACAGGATGGTTGAGTAGCCGCCATAATCTAGTGATTATCAGGCGTCGCCTGAGGGAGAGCAGAAATCCCCTCAATGGGCCATGGGCAATGGCAATGAGCAATGTGGTTATCTGCCCCAAGATCCCGCCATCAGAAGCTCGTGAGTTTCGGTCTTTCTCCGCCTCTTTTTTTTTGCTCCCTCTGCCAACTCCAACCACCATCGAGACCTAGGACGCCTCTTGCTTGTCCTTGTGCACACAGTGTAGAGAGACCCAACGCCAAGCTGGACCGACAATCAGGAAACGAGCGCAAGAACGAGCAACCCCGAGCTTCGCTAGCGAGCAGCGTTGTTGCTCGTGCTCAGACACGTACCACGGCCGACAAATTGATTCACAAGTAAAAAAGACGTCAATCCATCACCTTGGCCTTTTCGGCCTTGCTGACCCCACCCCCCACCAAGACAGGCAGAGGCAGAGACAAAGAGCTTGCAAGACCCCTCCTCACCCCTCCTCGCCCCGGCTTGCTCAGGTCCATTCCACTCCAGCCAGTCGACGAAGCACGATACTAGAGCCGATCAGACGCCAGACCGGCCTCCCGGTTCAGTAACTTTAAAAACCACCCGCAGCTCCCTCGACCCAGGCTCTGCGTTCCAGCCTCATCTAGCCTTTGCTTCTGCCTCCAACTCTTTTTTTTGTGCTGCCTTCTTGCTGCATAACTCCTTGCCCATCATGGCAGCTCCGCAGCAGCCTCTCACCTTCAACGATGTCTTCGAGGATGAGGATGTTGACGAGCCCAAGGCCGCCAATTCGGTTCACCACATCCGAGCCAACTCGAGCATCATGCAGCTGAAGAAGATTCTGGGTATGTCCCGAGCTTGTGAGCGTCCGTCGAGCTGGACCCTCGGTCGCAGACTGGGGAGACAAGGGCAGACGGCACGAGTAGCTCAGTTGCGCGGATTGGAACAATCTAGGAGCTCAAGCTGACCATTTGTTACTTCTGATCAACAGTTGCCAACCGTGGTGAAATCCGTAAGTGATCCGTCTCCGTCTCCATGCATCTTGTTGCGCCAAATCGCTCCTACGTCTTCAGCCAGTACTAACATGTGCCAGCCATCCGGGTATGGCCCGACCCCACCAGTTCAATCCAAGCCGAGAGACAATGACGATGGACTAACCAACTTGTTGTGCCGCATTGCAGATTTTTAGAACCGTAAGTTTCGCAGTCCTTGCGACACGTATACCACTCCAATTGATCGCATCCTGACGCTGAGATTTTTTCTTTGGTTCACAGGCCCACGAGCTTTCACTGCACACCATCGCCGTCTTCAGGTAACAACTCCAACGCAGACCTCTCGCCCGCTTTGAGCGGTCCGCTTGGAAGCTTCGACTGACGTTTCAACTCCGACAGTTATGAGGACCGTCTTTCCATGCACAGGCAGAGTAGGGACCTCACTTCTCCGACCAGCATTTTTAGTCTGGCGACTATTTCCCCCCTTCTTCTTTACTGACAGCGACTGCAGAGGCCGACGAGGCCTACGTCATCGGAAAGCGTGGCCAATATACCCCTGTCGGGGCCTATCTGGCTGGAGATGAGATTATCAAGATCGCTGTTGAGCACGGTGCTCAACTGATCCACCCTGGTCAGTTTCAACTCTGC